TCCGTTTTTCTTTATAGGTAATATAAATGTAAACGATACATTTACAATGTATCTTTCATATGTGCATGATGAGTTTAATCATTCTTTTTAGGAATTTAAATTAATTAAATTAATTTAGTTATGTTTCTTTTTTCTCATAGGGTTAGGGGAATAAAAAAAGTGATTAATTATAGCCTATTCTACTTTTAGTAAAAATTGACAGAAATGTTCTGATTTTATGTTTATACATCTTTGTTAGATTTTTTGGCGAGACTATAATTTATGGACGAGTCAATCAGAAGCGTTTGAGGGATTTCAAGGTCACGGCGCCTATTTCAGTACCTGATTCTCATGTTTGATTGGTTCACAGAGAATTTTAGAGAAGACTTGACAATTAAGCGGCTACACACAAATGAAACTACTAAGAAGTTGCTGTATTTGTAATTACGAGTATTAAATTACTTGTAGACCTTGTGCAGACTCCCGTGATATTGTCCTTCGATGTAATATATGTTGAAGGAAGACGTTAGCTAGAATAAGAACCTTTATCGCTAGATCCAGATTGAAACTAAGGCATATTATAATAATTGCCGCCAACTGTGTAATAAAATCACCAGTAACGTTGTCTGCAATATGTTACTGAAGCTTCGGCTGTGCAGTAGTATGAGTATAGTAGGGACATATCTATAATAAAAATGATAAACTTACACAACCGGAGTAAGGCTGAGAGGGTTTTTATGACCTTATCATGGCTCCAGAGACCAATTATTATGGAGCCATATTGATGAGTTCTTCTACCTTAAGCATTACGATTTTGAAACCTTTGAACCTTTTTCTAACATTGACAAGTTTTTGGACCATGTAAAAAAAGTGTATCCACTCTAATTATTTGGTTTTGTATAATATATTTTTACTCTACGCTGACTGTTTTCTGATTGACTAACATTTCTCAAGGTCACTTAAGATTCGTCCAAAGGTCGTCCATAAATTGTGGTCTCGCCGATTTTCCTAGTACATAAATATATTCTTTACACCACTGCTACTTAATTTTATGCTTTTATTCAAAAGCTTCACTTGAGTCCATTAGTGAAGATCATTAACGAAATAAATATTGAACATAGTCCATACTCTTTTGTTATTTTCTTTAAAAGTATGGTCAATCAGTTTAAAACAAAACCAACGATTTGAATATTGAATGGTTTAATATGAGATTTCTATTCATTTTCCATTTGTAAACAATACCATTCATTGAACACATTCCTAAGTTTTGATCGAGAAAAACTTGGAGTACTGGACTGGCATTTCGTCCCACTATGGGACTCCTCAGCAGTGCTCATCCAAGATTCCGAAGTGTCATTTTTTTCATATAAATATATTCTTCTTAACTCCCTTATTGATGAAATGTATCAGTACTGTTAGTTTAATCATATCACAATGATTTTAAATCAAGGTAATGTTTCTGTGTAAGTTTCATCTGATTTCTTGCTACTCATGTTAGAATTCTTATTTCATATAACTACACTTTATGAATAAAAACTGATATATCTACAACGATTGATCATGATGTTCAGTGTCATATTTATCTAGTTCTTAGTCCTGATCATATCTTGTAATTTCTTTATTTGTTCTTCAATTAATACGGTCTGCTGAAATCGAAAAATTGAAAAAAACTTTCATTAAGTGTATTATTATTTATTGTCTTTTCAATACTAAATTTTAAATGTTATCTCACTGAAGTAATTGACCGCGAAATTCTGACATCTAGAAAATTTACTGTGATAAACAAAAGGTATCATTCCTATTGGTTTATAAAATCTTAACTAATAAATAATCTTTTTTTATATAGTTGAGATTATGAGTCAATTGAAGCTAGACCACCATGGAAAACCTAAAAGCACTGGATGGCCGTTTCGTCCAGTGCTTCTAGGTTTTCCATGATGGTCTAGCTTCAATTGACTCATAATCTCAACTATATAAAAAAAATTACAAAATTCTCCACAAACCCCCCTTCTAATAAATAATCTTTAATCTGCACTTTCAAAAGTGCAGTAATAATAAAATATACTTTTAAGAAATGAGAAATTGACATTGTCAGTTAGTTGTATAAGCATATTTCATTGTTCTGTCTAACATTTCCATTTGATATTGGTTTTAACCAGTTGATATTACAGAAAAATCTTAACAATCCTTTCTTGTTAACAGTTTATATACAACAACAGCAACAACAACAACTAAGTTGACAATATCAATTAACTAGCAACATATTGTCTAGGTGATAGATGAGAATAATGATAAATTACTAACTGATTAATGTCACTTATAATGTCACTTCCTACGTGTGAAAATCATCAATATTTACAATCACTGGGGGAAAAAGAAAGAGAAACAGATGTTGTAATGTAATAATTTGTGATATATATATATGACAGATTATATTTGTGTGTTCATGACAAAGTAATACATGTGTTTAGAAAAAACAATTGGATTGTGTAACTTATTTGAGAATAATGAAAATTCTATGGAGAATTTTTTTAAAACTATAAATTGAGAACAGACAAAGATTTAATTACTTTCAAGTATTTCGGAACATATTATCTATGATTATATAAGGCATAAACAGTTTAAGAGAAACTATAAATCAACTTATATATCAGTATAAGGTTGTGGAGAGCGTTAAGTTAAGACTGATATCAAGAATGGATGAATGTTTAGACCACTATTGAAAACCTGGAAGCACCGGACGGCCGTTTCGTCCTAGTGTGCAACTCCTCAGCAGTGTTAATTTACGATCTCGCGCGCGATTACTTAACCATCAAACTATTGATCCAACGGTGTAGGATGTGAACTGCTGAGGAGTCCCATACTATGACGAAACAGCCGTCCAGTGCTCCCAGGTTTTCAATAGTGGTCTAACATTCATCGATCCTTGATATCAGTCTAAACTTATATGTGACAAACCTTTAGCTTAAATAATACAAAAATTTGGAAAAATAAATATAAGAAGGTAGATTATTGTAATTGAAATACCCTGACCCAAAGGTACTACAAAGTATATTAGCGTACTGTATATATTAATTCCACTTAAAAATGGTTAGATTTATCGATTCTAAATAATTGTAAATTTGACTATAAAATTCAGAAGGTCTCCGTTTATTACATTTTTGTCAGCTCTTATGATTGAATATATTAAATATTCCAAATATCCTAGTATTTCAACCTTTCTAATATAATATATTTAAAAAGACTACTGTAAGCAAAGATGGATAATGGCTATCAGTGAAATCCAGTTTGACGCGCGTTTCGTCCTATTTCGGACTCATCAGCTGGATCTACCTGCATCTCAGAGTTGATATTCACTCTGGGACTAGAACCCAGTAACTTTCGCTTCAAATGCCATCACGTTATTCACTCAACTACTGAGTCCTGATATCCATTTGCTTGTGCAATGGGGTGAAGTTTAAATTCACTTAGTATTGTTTGTTTGAATCTTCCCATCTTTGCTTACAATGCTTGTGAATTAAGGCTATATCGAGGCAATACGCATAGTATGCACATATACCAATTAGAGACTGACCAGTTGAAGTCCTAAACATCAATGAGAAGATTCAAACAAAACAATACTAAGTGAATTTAAATAGACTACTGTTTTGAATTCAGTTACAAACAAAGGAAATGATAGAATTGTTTAATAATTAAAATATACTTGAAAAAAAGCTTACGTATTATTGAAAATGATTTATTATTACATGTATGATTCAGTTATAAAGGTTTATTCATGTTTATTTATGTAACTGACCACAACTCCTAATCACTTTTCATTGGTTTTAGATAAGCTTTTAAGTTTCGAATAAAAGTATCAGATAGAATTATTTATGGTATATACTAAGCACATATTATCTATTTCATTTAGTTACAGATCAATCATATCACTTTACCAAACATTTCTAATATCATAAAAGAACTTTCGTCTAAATTAGAGCGAATAGCTTCATAGTATTTGGGCGCCAATTTGATGTAATTCCATTAAATAGGAATAAAAATATTTGTAAAATCTCAGCAAATGAAGATTTTCTTGAAAAAGCTTGAACCAGATTGCCATGTGAAACGTTGGATTTACTGCAAATTCATTCGCTGAGATCTTACAAATTTATTATCCTTATTTTCAATTTCTAATGTCATATTGTTATGAAGAAGTAAAAAAAGAGAATGTTACCAGAAATTTTAGTAAAAATGGGAAAGTGTACTCTGTTGTTAGTCAGTCCAATAAATTATTTATCTAATTTATGATGGCAATTTAGGCTTCTTTTTTACAAAATAACTATAAACAGTCATACTGTAGTAAACAAAACACTAGTTGGGGACAATCCAATGTATTTAAGGACAAATTACAGATTATCTCACTAAATTCTGATTACCATACAGTCAATAATTAATTTGCAAAATGACAATCAATTGTGTCAATCTTAAGTGTTCCTTCTGCACATATCAGTCCGTCCTCTCTGATTTCATTCTTCATGCATTTTCATACCGATAGCGCTTCATTCCTATTGTTCCCTTATCGATCTTCTGCCAAAATACATTCTATGTCTCACCATTACCTTACACTACTTATACGGATATAAGTAGACCACACCACAATACGTTTTCTAATTTATTATTCACTATATAGATTGTTCTGGCACTCCATCCATCTTTGCTTATAAACTATGTTTGCATTTGACAAGTGTATATATGACTCAATAAATTTGTTTATAGAGTATTACAAAAATTTCCATTAATAGTTCAGTAGTTCAGTATATTTGCTTACGTACTTATAACAGGGGAAATAAATAATTTATAAAGTTTTCATTAATGTACTTGTTATTTGAAGTTTTAGAATGATTGGATTCGAATAGATGTCACACTTTATATCTAAGAGTCAATTTACAAATAATCAAACTTTCTTTTAGTTTGAAATTATTATTTTTCCTTAATAACATAAATAAACCCTTCGTTTTATTGAAATCACGAACTGATTTTAGTTGGGCCAGTAATGAAAATCTGAAAGAAATAGACGGCCGTTTCATCCTCGTACAGGACTCCTAAGAAATGTTTACTCACAACCCCACCATTAAAAACCGAACCCAAGGCCTTCAGTATCTCACGAGAACGCTTAACTTCTAGACCATTGAGCTTGAATCCAATGATGTATGGGTCTAACTCCAATTAATTTGTGATATAAAGTGACCATCTTCTACTGTCTGCAATGGAAAATTATCCCACACCAGACATGATTGAACATAACTAGTCACGATTTTGCACTACAACTCTAAAATTTTCTTCCCAAAGTCATTCACTAATGAGGACATAATCATTATCAGTAAGTGGTTATGAAACATAAATTTCATTCTATTTCAGAGGCTATTATCAAATGAAAAAATCTTAAGGTTATATGTTTAAAAAGAAATTCTAGTTAGTTTCCAACATTAATTATTAAACTATATTATAGCATAAGACCGTGTGACAACTCCGTATAAATACTTTCTATTCGTTTATTACCAATTATCGATTTATATAAGAAGGGGGTTTTGTCGAGATTTAGTAAATCCAGGAGTTCTAGTGAGAAGCAGTGACCAGTGGAGTTCAAACCACGTCTGTTGTGAGATATCAACTTACTGAAGATAGTTGGTGAACGGTTTCTCAACTTTGTGGATTGGTTGGAGTTAGACATAAACACCATCGGATGCCGGCCCGATCAGTGGTCTATCGGTTAAGTGCTCTGGCGCGAGATTGGTAGGTCCTGAGTTGGAATCTCGCGAGACGGGATCGTGGATGCGCACTGCTGAGGAGTCTCACGATAAGAAGAAACGGCCGTCCAGTGTTTCGAGGTTTTCCCTGGTGGTCTAGCTTCAGTTGACACACGCTTTCAACTATCAACTTATAGTTAGTTTTCATTGATAAAATACTTAAACCAATGTATGTATGATCAGATTGTTCAAATCAATGTAACATAAATAAATCAAATTTTCCACGTTAAATCCACTTCCTTATTACTCTATCATAACATTAAAATGCGTTAAAAAGTTCTATGTATTATTCACTGTTTATTATATTTTTTCTCTATTTATTTATTTCCAAATATGAACTTTATTGTTTTGTTTTCCTAATTACTGATGTTACTACCCTAATCAGTGTAATTCCGTTTGACCTACATTAGATAGGCCTAAAAGTATTATTATTATCACTATTATTATAATTATCTCATTTCATGTTTTAACATATCCGGTTAGTGAATATGTACGTAAATATATAGGCACATATACTAATAAAACTAAACTCCCCATAAAATACAACTTTTGTAGTACTCCTCTTAACCGATAAAACTAGCAAGGTATAGTAACCTTGAAAGCAAGAGAGGTGTACTAACATGAAGTATTCAATCACTGTCTATTTATTCATCTACATTATCTTATATCTTAGATAACTGAAATATTAGAAAACTGAAATGACATTTACACCTCAATGAATTAATATAACTTCTAAGCCGATATCCTTTTACCTTAAGACTACACAGGAATTCATACCGAGTTTACTGTTCAATGACTTTTGTCATTTTTTCTACATTTTACGCCAAGATAATCAACTACATCACCGCTAATTCTCAAATGGAAAGATGATGGACAGAATTTGAATAAAGCCAGAAACCAAATACAAACACAACACTGAATTTTACTCACCAATCAATGAGTTTTACAGGAAGTTACTCATGGCCTTTTACTGAGACAATGGGTATTGCTATTTAAAATTGCACCAGAGACATCCTCAGGATTTCAAATAGGCCTAACTAATCAGTAATATCTATCATGAAACTGAATTCGAAGCTTTTTGTTCATCCCTTTGAATCACCAGATATTTAAATAAACCTGTTTCTTTACAATCTGTTGATAACATTTTCAAATATTCTGTCTCATAAGGAGAAAACAGGAATGAAGTGACGTACAGGCTTAATGTGTAGCGAACTAAGCTGATAATAAACTGGTATGATAACATCAATGAAACTGCATCACATGGACGACCTTTGAGCGACGTTAAAGTGACCTTGAGAAAATTTACCAACTTACTGTGGTCAAAGTAGGGTTATGATTCGTATGAAGCATTTGGATTAAGATTTAGAGTTTAAAGTTAGAGTTAAGATTTAAAATAAGAGTTTTCACCACAAATTAAAATTAGCTATAATTGCAAAATTCTACTTAGCCATATGGATGAATGTATTTCATGTCAAAATTCATGACTTAATATCCTTGATTTTATGGGTTTGTTCATAAATTATTGTCTCATCGATACTACTTCACTGACTAATTTGAACATGGATAATTCAAATTCAAGTATGTGAACCTAAAATGAATCTTTCACCGTTTATTTCCCAAAGATCTAAAGAAACTTGAAATCAGTACACAAAATTTATGGAGATTGTGGAATTTTCATGGTTTAAATCATGAACTGATCTCCAAAACCTGGTAGTACCGAACAACTATTTCAATAAAATATGTGATTTCCTAGCAATGTGTTTCCACAACCTCGTTTCACGAATTATCATCACTTTGGCAAGTGAACGCTCAATATCTATTCGATATCCTATAGAGTTCAATTATGTCAAGTGTAAGACGGTTACCCTTCTGAGGCAATTAAAGAAGGTTGTTCAGTATAGTGGATTAATTTAACTTAAACATCCACGCCATTAAATGCTGATCTGGATTCTTAGTGGTGGCGTTAAAGATGTGGATAGGACGAAAAATCTGTCCAGTGTTTTCAGTTAGATCAGTTACGTATTAATAAGTCGATGTTTATGTCAAAAATACCTCCTACCAAAATATATCATTACAAAGTATAATTTGAGGTTGGATAACATAGATGCTAACTGATAAAATCCTTTGATTAAACCAGAATGATCTATATATTCAGAAGACTTTCCTTTTATTTGAGTACAGTTTGTCGTTTTTATTTCAAGTCACTCTCCAAATTATTTCCATATTGTCTGTAACACTCATTTGTGAACCAGTCACACAAATTGCTTATCTGATGTATAATTCACCACAGACCTTCAGTAAGCTAACTAGATCCAATTACCTCAAAAATGAATAAGTATTTTGGTTTGATTCTTTATGTTGGCTTGAGTCATTTAGCCAATTACATCTGTCTTTTTAAAAAAAATCTGTTTAATCACGATTACTTTACACTCTTATTCAACAGTCTATAAAGCACTGAATAGGTTTTAAAACTATTAAAACTGCTGTTTTTCAATAACGGGTATGGAAATGCAGATATATCTACTAAAACTTTGAGTAATTGTGCAGACGATGAATGGTAACTGCTAGGAATTGCTTATGAACTACTATTGCATATATTGCTATTATATAACGATTAAGTAACTATTATTATATGCATATCTCCACTCTCTTTATTATGAGGTTTTTATTTGACCTATTGACTATTATTATACGATTTACTATTCTTAACTTATTCCCCATTCATTAGCTACAGTCTCTCACAATCACACTCTTTGAGTTTGATCTTGTATAATTGTTATTTTTCATTTTATGGTATGATGCGGTCTGGTTGCTTGTACATAAACCAAGTATGTCTGAAATACATGATTTATACAGTGGAGGCTGAGATTGTGTTCTGAACTCAAACGGACAGGTCTAGGAGACAAGAGCCAATAACGACTCAGAATTAAATCTCGGCTGCTCGTACTGATTCACGCGTCATTGTTTTGGCATAGTACCAAGGTCGTATAAGTCGGTGTTCTGATTGGCGATATAGTCACGCAATAATTGACAAATATTAAATGTTGATTCTAAATATTGTCATTTGGACAAAGTTTATGTAATCAGTAAGTAGAAAAAAACAAAACGAAACAAATACTGTCATATTGAATGTCTAAACTAATCATCTTCATATTCTATATTTTATTTTTATACTTTTGTAGCTATGCTCATTTTTACAGTGAAAATGGAACTAACTATCGAGATTTGATAAAAGCTTATGGTATAAGATTTGTTATTCATGTTAGTGGTGAGGCTGGTAAATTTCATCTTCTTCCATTGACAATGAATATTGGTTCAGGTTTAGCTTTACTCGGTTTGGTAAGTAGTTTTAAATAATGAAACGTATATAATATTTTATGAGCTTTGATAACTAGGGGTTTATATTTTCAAAAATGATATCAATGTTAAATAGCTTGTAAAAAGCTTTTGTAGATTCAGCATCACTTATCGTTATCACGTGTTAAGGTCATCAATTGTAATTTCTCCCTATTACTTGGTCAATATTTCTTTCATGGTTTACTTCTAGACTTAATCAATTACATGTCTAATCTTTACTATCAGCATTGAACAGACCCAAGCTGAGCTCCTACTGGTCCGTTATAATCTCGTCCTTCTCTATTCTTTACCCTGAATCCAAAAAGTCAGCAGTCAGTATCTAATAGACTCAACTCAATCATGACTCAAACAAATCACACAATACAAGTTGAAGTATATAAAAAATCAAGTTAATTTCATAACAAAACTATAAACGGAAAACAATAGAGTTATAGATTCACTTAGTATTGTTTGTTTGACTCTTCCCATCGAGTCCTAGAGTGAACATCAACTCTGAGATGCAAGTACATCCAGCTGACAAGTCCCAAATAGGACGAAACGCGCGTCCCGGATTCCACTGCTAGCTACTATCCATCTTTGCTTATAATAGAGTTATAGACCCGTAATATATTAATAATAATGTAAAAACAAGTTTAACATACAATAGCAGTTCATCATCATGCTTATAAGTAGGTGAATACTAAAATATAAAAATTTAAGTATTTAATTAAAAAATATAAATATAAATACAATAATTTCAAGTAGGATAATTCCAGAAGTTCATCTTTCCCAAAACTCATCCTGTTATAACAAAAAAAATAATTTAAACAAAGTGTAAATGCAAAAATTGTATTTCAAATAACCTGAGCGATTGAAACTTAAATAATTACAACGTTTCATCCAGCAAACGTGTCTAAGTTTATTCAGGGTAATCTTTTTTCTACTGAATACTATTGTAGTGAACAAGAAGATAAGTGGGACAATCGAATGTATTTAAGCACAAATTACAGACTATAACCACACAGTAAACAATTAATAACAGTCAATTGTCTCAATCTTAAGTGTTACTTCTGCATATATCAGTCCGTTTTCTCTGATTTCATTCTTCATGCATTATCATACCGATCGCGCTTCATTCCTATTGTTCCCTTATCGATCTTCTGCCAAAATACATTCTATGTCTGACTATCATCATATACTACTTATGTGGATATAAGTAGACCCCACCACACTATTACTATCATTATTTTTCATTCACAAACCTAGTTTATCCAATCATATAATGAAAATAGAACTTTAATTAAGTATTATTAAAGTATAAACACATTACATTGTTTCGTATGAATGAAAAGGAATCTGATCAAACAAATCAGGATACATTTTACTCGTAATAAATATTCACTCATAGTTAGTTTTTTAACTATATGTTTAAAACAATTAATCCCTTTAATAAATTTGGATAACCCTATAAGAAAACGGTTATCAAATTTATGGGACAAATTAGAAGGTAAAAAAAAGTCAATTACAAAGTACCTAGAAACAATATGAAAACATACATTGACTTATAAATCAGTATTATTATGGTGGTAGGGTAAAGGTAAGAACAAATTGTTTTTGAATAAATCAAAGAGATTCCATTTTTCATATAGCCAAGACTTTGATAAACCATCCATGAACACATTTATAAAACACAATAAAACCTGATTAAATATTATTCTTATGACCGGTCCTCACTAAATGTTTCACAGTGGAAGAAAATATTTGTCCATCCCAGTGATTTTATTTGATTAGTGGAATTCATTTGTCTTTGTATTCTCAACGATCAATTCGATAGAACATATATATGATGATGATGATGATGAACAAGAAGTCATATTTGTGTTAGTAGTGAGATGGGTCATCTTAGTTTTACATGTTGTTTACAAAAATACCAAATTCTTCTACTAGAATATTAAAAATAATTGACGGAAGGAGATTTGTGCAACCTTGATGAATTCAAATTGTCTTATTATTTCACAATATTCTTGTTTAAAACAAATGTTGTTTACAGCCTTAAATTTAAATGTATTCACCTTATAATATGTTTTTAAAAAATATATATTATATACATTTGGAGAATTTGTTGAAAGGGTTGTTTATTTTTTATTTTATTTAAACACAAATATTGGTACAAGGAAGCACCAGATATATATGCGCTGCACAAATCTCATTTGATTTATGTGAGGGCTGTCATACTGCTCAGGTGCCCAAACTGAAGCTGGTAGTTTTCTCAGGGGACCATACTAGGAGCCTTCGACCTAAAGGTATGATCTACAAGGCAGTGGAGCATCGTGAGGAGATGCAGTCCCATGGTAGCCGGTGACCAACGATTGATTCATACGCCATTTGTTCCCTCAGGATATTGGATCCCATGTGCACCATTGATTTGGAATCAGGGTTTTCCAACTCCCTAGGTGGAGTTTCCATGTCCACCAACCCGGTTAAAGCGCCGGACACTTGCTTTTCGTCTTCTCAATTTCGTAAACAACAGTAGTGCCACGTGAAGGCAGTGAGTAGAACTTCCCTGGAAGAGGCTATATACGGGTGACCATGTGATAGCATTTGGAGAGAGAGAGCGGACTCTCCCCACTTTCGGCCATACCAGGGCATTTGCAGGCTGATGTTATAATCATTTAAAAAGAAACAGTGGTATTTAAAACAATAAAATTACCAAAGTTTTTACACAATACTATAAAGAAAGAAACCCAAAACTATTGTCAGATGAAAATGATTTCACCCATCCAAAAGGCACAACCCTGTAGTTCATCTAAATCCACTGATTTACTGATATTAAATATAAGGGAAATACAAAAGTAGATATTTACACAAAACTAATACTACTACTATTACAAAGTAAACTATATGTCATTTGTATACAAATTAGACTAAATTAATACAAAAGAACCACATACCAAGTGATTGTCATAAATTAAGGGAATAATACTGAATAGAAAATACACAAACATTGAGATAAAGTGTAACTTTGTACATGTTTATCTCCATTTAACATTTTGGTTAATAACTCAAAATTTTGCCATATCACTAACAGTACTCATTAACTACATACAATATGAAATACTTAGAAATGTATTAAGAAAATTTAACATTTAAATTCACTTAGTATTGTTTGTTCGAATCTTCCCATTGATGTTTAGGACTGCAACTGGTCAATCTCTAATTAGCATATGTGCATAATGTGCATATTGCCTCGATATAAGTTTAATTTACAAGCATGGTAAGCGAAGATGGATAGTGACTAGCAGTGGAATCCAGGATGCGCGTTTCGTCCTATTTGGGACTCGCCAGCTGGATATAGATGATAGCAAAGCATTGTTCTCGTAATTTCTGTAGAACCTAGATTTCTTTAAGATTAGACTATGAATTAACTGGAAAAATAATCGTAAATTTTTGTCAATAATACGACAAGAAAATCAGAAGTAGGCGATTATTTGATAGAAGAAAATAATACATGCTGAGGAGTAGCACAATAGGACGAAACATCCGTTTAGTGCTTCCAGATTTTCCATAGTGGCCTAGCTTCAATTGACTCATGATCACAACTTTTAAAATAACATATTTAGTTGTTTATTTCTACTGTTCACTTCGAAATTTATATATAATTATTATTGTCTATTACCTTGATTGAAGTTAGTCCATTCCCTATATCTTACAATCTCTATTACTTATAAGCATTATATTATATAAAAATATATTACATTTTAGGCGCCAACTGTTTGTGATATAATCGCATTAAATCTTTTACGATCAAGAGATATTTATCAACGTGCAAAATTTGAAACAATTGCCGAAGAACAAGCTCATTTATCTAGTCGTCGTGCTGATAAAGCACAACGTAAAAAATATGGTTTATCTAAACGTAATACAGAAACAATAAATGAGAACTCAGATGAAAATGGTAAAATTATACAATGGAAAGATGATCAAGAATTTACAGTAAGTGATACACAAACTATACATTCATCAACATAAACATTTGAATAATTGTAAATTCAAATCAAGTGGTATATTTTTGCTTTTTTTGCTTTTTTCTCTAAACTAAAAAAGAGATAGAATTGTTTCCTTTAATTTTCACTTATATCTTTTTATTGTTATTTACTCGTACATATTTGATGGTAGTTGCATTATATCTTAACTTCTTTTAATATCAGTTATGCATTTCTTTTTTATGTTGCAATGTTATACATGACAATTGTCTATATGTTACCATGTACATTATTATCTGTTTACAAATCATTACTAGCATCGAATACAAGGATTAATATACATTAGAAAGTATATATATATATGGTTATAATACTTATAAATCTGTTGTAAATGTTCACAAACTCTTACTATTATTACCATTTGTCTGCTTTAAATGTTATTCCTTTATTCTCTATTTTGTATTCAACCAGTTTCTATTCGGTTATCTGTTGTTGTTTTTTTTAATTTTTAATTTCATTCCTGTTACGAATTGTTTATTGAGAATGAACAAGGAAAAAAAAACTGCATTTTTCTCGCCCCCCCTTCCCCCCCCAAAAAAAAAAATAAACGAAAAAGAAAATAGATCAGTTGTATCCGAATATGAAAAAAATTGTTTAAATATCAATTGTTTACCATCTTCTAAAAAAATTACTATCCATTTAGCGCTTGGAAACAAAAAAAACTCTTTTTTGAGAAACATATTTTTTTCTTAGATGAAAAAAACTAATAATCAATAAATTGGAACTAATCATAACATCTAAGTATTTATATTAAATTTTTACTGCGTTTACTATGATGTAACTTTATTTTATTTATTTGGTGAAAGAATATAATTTGTGATGTTGTTTATTTTTCTCTTTTAATTCTTTAGTCTTTTTTTTTATGATAAAATTATTTTACAAACATTATTGATGATAATCTCAATGTATTTTGCATTTGTCAAAAGTATACATCTATGAATTATTATAAGTATATATATATATATATATATATATATATACTTATTTTTTCATGGTTTTAATCGTGAAGCAATCTTAGCTGGAACACCATTGAAACTTTGGATGGATGTTTCATTCTCGTATAAGACTCTTAAACAGTGGACAACCAGCAATCTACCATGGGGAATGGAACCTAGAACCTTTGGTTTCGCATCCAAATGCTTGACCTTTAAAACACTGAGCTGATATACGACTGTATAAATGTCGAGCTTTAACCAACTCATGATATTGCACAACCTTCATCTATTATCTAAAGTAAATAACAGTATCACATTAGACGTAGTTTAACTCTATTGGTCACGGCTTCGTACTATATTTCCTGGAGTTGCATCTTGGAGCTAGTAAGCACATGATGACAAGAGAACATTTTTTTATTTATGTTGATCAGTAGCTGGGGCATATTTGCATATCCCAGTCCAAATTGATAAGTGATAACTTCTCTGGATGGAACAGTAAGTAAAATTGCTATAAATCCAGTGGAATTATCAGCTGTAACATAAACGTATGTATTCCTTGCTAAAGAGTACCAGATAGCACAAATTTAACTTCACGGTTTCTGATCGACTGATATCAATCGTTTAACATGGATTTCCCTTCATGAAACATTTTCCTGTTTAAAAAAGCACTACTTTCAGAACATAGGATAGGCAAATCAAGAACAGCTTATTTACAACTGAAGAACATCTGAAACTCAAAACAATTGTCAACCAACACCAAAGTCAGAATTTTCAATACAAATGTCAAGACAGTTCTACTGTATGGGGCGGAAACTTGAAGAACTACGGAAGCCATCATACATAATATACATGTGTTTATTAACAGTTGTCTACGCAAAATACTTCGGATTCGTTGGCCAGACACTATCAGAAACACTTTACTGTGGTAGAGAACAAACCAGATTATATTCAGTGGAGGAAGAAATTAGGAAGAAGCACTGGAAGTGGATAGGATACATACTGAGGAAATCACCCAACTGCGTCCCGAGGCAAGCCCTCACATGGAATCCTAAAGGCCAAAGGAGAAGAGGAATACCAAAGAACACATTACGTCGAGAAATGGAGACAGACATGAGAAGAATGAACAAACTATGGATAGAACTAGAAAGGAAGGCCCATGACAGAGTGAGTTGGAGAATGCTTGTCTGCGGCCTATGCTCGATTGGGCTTAACAGGCCTAAGCAAGTACGTAAGTAACTTTCAGAACATATGGATGTTTTACATTGAAGAAAAAGAGCGAAATTTCATGAATCTTTAAGAAACTATTTTATCCACACTGAATACAATTATTTAAAATTGTATGTAGGTAACTTCTGTAGAAATATGATTACATAACACTTTTAATATAAAATTGGCACTGAATGTCATCAGACAATGTAAAACACAAATGAACTGAGAACAGACAGTGAATGTGATTGAAAAATATTACATGCAACATATCAGTGACTGATACAATTAAAATTTATTCTTTTGTAATATTAGTCTGTGTATTGATTCACTTCTAACTAATCAGGTGTAGTAAAAACATCAGACATCAGAGATTCTTCACTAGTTGCTGAAAATTTTCATAGCTCTTCTTAAAAATCATAGATTAACGTTCATGAGAATTATTATCTCAATAAACTCGATGCGAAGTCTCCGCAACATTTTTTTCAGTATAACACAAGTTAAACTATCAACATGCACCCGATGTGAGAGATGAATTAAATGAATTAATTGACTAGAATAAATTAATAAGATTTAGTAAGCACGTACAAATAACAGGATGCGAGTTAGTCATCAAGCACGTTAAGAGACTTACACTTAAGCGAATGAATGAAATATATGCGTGGGCTGTAACATGTAACTACCCGTTTATGAGCGCATGCGAACACATTTGTGTGCAAATAAATAATCTTAAAAACATCTGAATTTATTATTCATATCCGCCCCCGCAACGATGAAAAGTTTTCACCTCTTTCCACTTTTGCACCCCTCATACTGATCGTTCAATAATATTAATAATTTTAAAAGTTTCGATAATGTAATAAGAAGACGAAGATTACCAGAACTATGTGATATATTAGCGCAATACATTTCGAACAATTTGATCACACATATACTTGTTAAGAACATTTATAATTGAAATTGATTTAATTGGTTAGCTTACATTTAACGGACTGTGGTTTATTCTGTACCTCTAATGATAAATTTTGAAGGTGTGATCGTAAACATAAATGGGCTCAGACTACAATTTATGAACGAACCAATGAAATCAGGGAAAATAAGTCATGAATTTTGGCACGACATTCATTCATCTACATGGTTAAATAGCGTATTGGTACTTTAGCTGATGTCAATTCGTGATGAAAACTCTAGATGTAATTCCTAACACTAACTTCCAACTCTAAATTGTAATCCTCAGTCCTTATAAGAATTATAACCCTGTTCTGACGGTAGTAAGTTGGTGAGTCTTCTCAAGGTCACTAGAGTCACTCAGCGGTTTCCATAAATTATAGTCTCACCGTACTTTGGGATTTATTTAAGTGTTATCGAAATACATGCTCAATTTGTCCAATTGCACACATTTTTTCACTAAAATTTAATTAATTACAAACCATTACGTTGTGAGATCTGATTAGTTAAATTCTATGAGGTACATGAAGATTTTGAAATTTTTTCTAAAATTTTTAATAATTTTTAGGATTTTGAAATTGATTGTTTTTTTCCAAAAATTTCCACCAGTTGTTTCACTAGTGTTTATTAATATCTTTTCTTAATCTCCATTCATCATTATTTAATGAATTGAAGTCACAGTCTTATTATGATAACTTTATTCTAACCAAAGTAAACACAAAGTTTGTGTGAATATTCTAATTGTACTAAATAATATACAAAAAATGTAGTAAAAGATTAAATACTAACTGGAAGGCCGTTTTGTCCTAGTATGGGACTCCTCATCAGTGCACATCCACGATCCCACACATGGGACTCGAACCCGGGGCCTTCGGTCTTGTGCACTACGGCTTAACATGTAGACCCCTGAAATGGCATCCAAAAGTGTCAGTGTCTGATGAGGAGTCTCATACTAGGAAGAAACGGCCATCCAGTGCTTCTAGGTTTTCGATGGTGGTCTAGCTTACATCAACCCTTGAATTCAACAAATAAAATCACCACAATCTCCACAAACCCCCATTCCAATAACAATGTAAAGGTAAATTACTAATAATTATTATTATCATTAGTGAAAATAATGTCTTAAGCCGTATATAATCAATAATGATCTCAGTAAGACGATATTCAAGTAACTGATTTATGAATTTAGAAATTTAACATGTTATGCAATGAAATAAGATTAAATGAAAGTACTCGTTATTCACTACTATTTATTCAATGAACATTTTATTGTAGGCGAGATATCCGTCTAGCAACCAAAGGACGTGTTTACTGTGCAACAGTTCGTTCCATCCTACTTTATGGAAGTGAAACATGGCCGATAAGAGTAGAGGATATTCGTAGGCTACTAGTATTCGATCATAGATGGCTTCGAAGCATTGCTCGTATATCCTGGGAACACCGAGTAAGTAATGCAGATGTTAGGAAACGGGTACTAGGTAAGGATGGCAAATCGATTGATGAATTAGTAAAACTTCATCAGTTGAGATAGCTAGGACATGTGTTACAACCACCGACTGTCCCAACGTGCAATGTTTTTTTGGTGTAGGAGTAGGTTGGAAGAAAGCTAGTGGTGGCCAGACCAAAACGTCGCACAAATCTACGGTCACTGACAAGTAGACTGAGCCATGTTGGTAGGTGTAGACTACCTGGTTGGGATTTGCGAGATGATAGCAACGGATGGTTAAAGACCTTGAATGACATGGTTCAAAATCGTTTGCAATGGCGAAGGTGCATTCACTCTTTGTGTTCTACCAACTTCTAATCTTCTGAATTCTTCATGTCCTTATCCTTTTTCTCTTTCCAAATTCATTTCACTGCATCATACTCCTTGAATAACACCTTAAAACCCTATTATTTCACATAATGCTTATACTCTTACTACTTCTACCACTATGGGATTTGAATCGGCAACTGAATCTCTGTTCTAATGTGGTATGGTAACTCGAACTGATGTACGTACGTACGAAGTTCTAAGTTGTGACTGACTGACTGATTTATGGTTAGTTAGTGGATGAATTAATAGATATCTATTTTAAACATAACAAAACCACAGTGTTTAAACGAACATATCAATAAAAAAGTCTTGATGTTGGGCTTTTTTATGGAAATGGAGTGAATGATATAATAGTTCTCATCTATTTATATGAAATAAACAAGACTGGAAAGAATGTCGAAGTATGTGTAAACTTTACGTTGACAAATTATTCTTAATATCTGGATATTGCAAAGTAATAATTAACAAATAATAGTAAGGGATTCGAAGGTTTAATGTATATTGGTAAATGTAATTAGTTTACAGTTTACAGAAGTACGATAATGAAAGTAGATATGATGTAGTCACATATCCAAGTGGAATCGTAGAGTTAGTTGGACTGTAATTATAAACAATTATTCTCCTTCCTGTTATGACTGTAGCTAGCTAGTTCACTGAAAACTTTGTTTACCCTAAAGGTGACCAAACTATGAATGTAACCCCGAAAATAGTGAACAAAATTATGTAGCTCATTAGGAGAATATTTATTGGCAGGTAGAGAGTCCATGGCGGTCTAGCTTCAATTGACTCACGCTTTCAACTATGATAAATACTAAATCTCCACAAAACCCGTTCTATAATTAATATAATCATATGCTCACTAGTGACTTCGAGAAGTATATCTAGGAGATCTAGTGAGAAGCAGTGACCAGTGGAGTTCAAAACCACGTCCGTTGTGAGATATCAACTCACTGAAGACAATTGGTGAATGGTTGCTCAACTTCGTGGATCAGTTGAAGTTAGACATTAACACCGTTGGATGCCACGTCAGTGGTCTATCGGTTTTGGGCTTCGGC